CTTTACACAATATACAAGGAACTTAAAGTACGCCACTTATAAAAAAAATATTAATTATTAATCGTGGTGGGGAGTATTTATAGAGCTAGCAGAAGTTAACGACATCAAATCAAAGGAGCAAATTACAAAATTAAACACACAGCGCAAGGACTCCGCGCAGCCTTCCGGGTTTCAAACATACTTCAAATTTGTAATCTAATAAAATTAAACAGACAATAGAATCAGCTCCCGCCAATAAATAAACACAGAATTCTGGAGCATACAGAAGACCACAAAAACTAAACATTCATTCAAAGGACTGACAGCAGTAAAGAAACACGAGTCAACCTCGGCGTCTTGCCTTTATCACCAAAACAACAACGACACCCTTTGATCTTGTCTCCCAACTCCATTTTCTCACTTCCTTAATGAAAAACCAGGGGTGTTCGCGAATTTTTATTTTACAGTTATATAAAAAAAAATCCTGAATTTCAGTAGAAAAAAAACACAAAAACTTATACATTATCAAGTGTGGGCCTATTGAAAATTCGCCACGAACCTTTCCAAAAATACTTTTACAAAAATTCAATAACATCCAGCTACTGTTCGTGACAAGAGTTTATTTTTTTTATTATTATTGAATAAAGACATCTTTGAAGAACGTTAAAATGTAAAATTTAATGCTATTTTCGAGTGGGAACATTTGTTTAAAAAATATTTTATTTTATTCCTTTTTTTTACAATGAGATTATTTTTGTGCAGAAGTTCAAAACAAAAGGACAGTATTAATTATGTGATTGCAATCTATAGTGGTATGGGGCTTCGGGGTTAAAAATGAACAGTTGATTTGTAGTGGATCTAGGAAGGCTGCGTGAATATTTAAGATTATGCTGCAAATAAAATATGCAATATCCACAAACATAAATTATAAGAAATGGCCAAATGGTAACGATATTCAATCATGACAAAAATACATGTTTGAAACAACAAATTAAATTTTATATACACAATTTACAATTTCTTTGTTTGTAATTATGTGTGCAACAGTATATTTTAGAAAAAAAGTTCTTTTCTGTTTCGGAAATTTCAATGTCTAAAAAGTTGCCTGCCGTTGATTAAAAAGGTTGAATTTAACTTAGATAAAAGATTTTTCTATGAAAGATATTAAGTGAAAAAGTTTGTTGTGTAAATTTTTCTAATCTCTCATAAAGGAAGTTTGTTTCTTTGGCGGCACATAATTACCGTGTGTATCTTTCGCGTGTGAGAGTCTCAAATGCGACGAAAATTCGTTTACTATTTCTCTTTATAGTTTTTTTTTTTTTAACCGAATCAACTCAACGGGGCTTGGTAGCTGTTGCGAATTATTCTGAGAAATGCGTGGGCGAATGTTGTATATTTTTATTTTTTAACCAACAGGATTGAAACATTTAAATTAGGGATGAATTTTAGAAAGATTTTTTTTACGTCGGCTGAGCCTACATTTACACAAATTTTGACTGTTTTGTTATGGAAATTTCTCGAAGCTTATTTTGTATTTAACAAACAATGAAATTCAAAAAAATATTTGAAATTGAAATGAGTGTTACTAAAGATTTACCCACGCCAAGAAGATTAATGAAGGATGATAATGACGAAGAAACACACGGGTTATTTTAACAAAACAAGACAAGGACTATATCCACAAATTTACACGCTTGAAGTGGTGTCAGTAGCTCATTTCAGGAAAGGTAAATCAGAATTCTGAAAGTCCGTAGTTTATGAAAAAAATAGAAAAAACTATTATTGTATATTGTCGTGGGTTCGGTTCAAAAGAAATTGGAAAATGGAGATCAAGCGACAAAAAAGTGCACCGTAAAATTGACGATATACTTAGTGAGTAAACTAAAACATTCTTATTAAAATAGAATAAAATCAAATTTTACTAAATATTAGGGATGCACAAATTTGCTGGCTTAAGTGCCCGAAAAAGCGGGTAATAAATTCCAGGACAAAGGCTCAATGGTAGTTGTGGGGAAAAGATCAAGTTTACAATGAAAATCAATCAAATAACATAAAATATCACAAGAAAAATGCCTGTGTATACAAAACAAGGCAAATTACAAGGAAGAAGATCAGTAAGATCGAACACAGTTAAAAGGGTATATTTACCTTGAAGAGATAAAATGTCAATGTTCTAAATAGTTCTTGTGATTTGATATGAGTTGTCGAAGTTCGTGACAATCTGTTTCTGACTTCAGTGTTCAGAGTCTTCAACATAGCGGGTTGTTTTTAGAACAGTACTTGTTTTGTGTTGTGGAAATGACTATTTTTTTTTTTTTACAATAGTTGGTGTGAAAATAATACTTAATTATGTCGTGAAAACGACAATTTGGTTGTCAAGACATCGTTGAGGAGAGTTATCACGCTCGGTCAGGTTTACCGATGTGTTTAGAAGGCGTCGTGTCTCCCTACTACTACTACTACGGCGTTCGGTCACGATCCTCGGCCGTCGCGTCTCCCACTACCCAGCGTCCGATCACGATCCTCGACCATCGCGTCTCCCACTACTCGGCGTTCGGGCACGATCCTCAACCGTCGCGTCTCCCACTACCCGGCGTCGCGTATTCTTATAGCCAAAGATTTGCCCCGATTTATCCGAAAGATTTTGGCGGTCAACATAAGCATTTCAGATTTCAACCGGATCGAATAGCCATTGGTTAAAAATCACGTTTATTAAAACAATTTTTGTAGTAGAAAAACACATGTCTTCCTTTCTTTTTCCTTCACCTTCAATTGACACCACCCTTGCACTATTTGGTCAATGAGCTTTGCACGCAGTGTGGGAAGGTTCAGGTTTCAGTAAAAAAAATTTATTACCTTTTACTTCCATCAACAAACTACCGAAAATTACTAAAAGTGGAAATTTTTTTAACAAGTTTTATCGTATTGTCATGACAACAAATTACATGTGTCTATATCTCTGAAATGAGGTATTATGATTATTTATATTATTCATATTATTCGGACTGTTATCATCATCTTCATTGCTATATTCACAACGTTTCGACCCTTGTACGCTTCGGCCTTCTTCCGAACCGAACCCTTTATTTCGTCCACCGGAGTAGATTGTTCTAATTCCATGTGTCATGCCTCTTCCGGATGCCTCAGTTGTTGTCCCTTTAACTCAACTCTCCATGTTGTTTTTGATTCACCACTGCTGTAGCTTGATATTGAACTCACAACTCTCTGGGTCTAGTCACTGGATCTAACCAACGTCTTCATCCACTGGGCCATGTGTCCTTGAGGACGAAATAAAGGGTTCGGTTCGAAACTCAAATTACCTGAAGAAGGCCGGGGTGTACAACGACCGAAACGTTGTAAATATGGCAATGAAGATGGGGACAATAGTCCGAATAATATAAATAATGTAAGTAACAGATTACATGATCTGACACAAAATAATATCAAAAAATGTTTAAGACAAAGTAAAGATAGTTCGTTGCTCACCGAAAGGACATATGGTTTATATAAGTTCAAAAGTAGACTGAAAGAGATAGTTGTAAATATTTAGCTTTCTTGGATTGTTCAAAGAAAATTCTAATTAGAGACTGATAATATAATTGGCGAGTAATTTTACACTGGTGAGTAATTCCTCATTGGTCACGAGGAACTGAAACGAAACCACTCACATGACTTCAGATACTCTTTCTCTTAATTTTATATCGAAAATAATTTCGCGTAATTCCTTTCCTTCTTCTTGGTTGACCGGTTAATTCCTGCGAAGGCACGGTTTTCATTGGTCCAAAAACAATTTCATATAGGCTCGCGAATTTCTCAGTCCTCCGAATTTGAAGTGAGAGGGTGAAAGGAACACTTACTAAATTAACATTATCAGTTAATTAGATTTATCAATTCCCCACTTTTTTAGTAGAATCCCTTTAAATTTTAAATACAGATTTTAAAAAATCTCACTTGGTTCAATTTAAATATTTATATGACATCAGACAAGTAATAAGATAATCGAAAAGAAAAAGTAATGGATTAAACTCAGATCTATTATTTAACTAGTTCTAAATTAATTAATTTCTTATACTTCTAATGTAGCATAAAAATAAAATTTCCCCAAAGTTTCGTAAAATCGTATGGAATAAAATGTTACATTCTTGAACCATTTTTTTTTTTTTACATAGAATTAAAGATAATTTATTTTAAAACATAAACAATACCATTTTTTAAATTTTGTACTGTTAGTACTTCGTGTTTATTTAATTTTTATTTTTTAATTTTCATGTTGTTATTTTTTTGTTTTTCTTTGTTGTTTTTTGTTTTTGTTTTAAGTCAGGAGTGACAGTAGGCGACTATTGTTGATGACCTCTGACCTTGACAGTTCATGAGCTACTTTTAAGTAAATAAATGTTATATTTGCTATGTTCTAAGCAAAAAGTAAGCATTACTTTTTGAACTACCATATTTTAATCAATCCTTATTTACTATTTTACTTTGAAACAAAACTCTAGAACAAAATTTGGAGTTTTAAAATATTTTTTTTAATTTGTTGTTTTTATTTTTGTTTAATGGAGGTTCGATGAGTAGTGACCGTGCCAATATTTTTTTTTTAAATTGTTCAAAAACCTTAATGACATGTGTAAATTTATTTTTCGGATTAGTAGCCTAGGCTAAAACTAAAATTCAGCTTCGAAGACATTTTTATTTAGTAATAAAAAAATGCATTTATTTATTTTATAAATAAGTCCGTGGTGGTACTAAAAATCACTACGTTGTCATTTCATTGTAAATTTTTATTAACAGAAAAACAGCTCTGAGTTTCCTTGAAATTTTTGGTGCAGGTAAGTTGGCACACCTAGTGTAACTATCAGACTAATTAGGACGAAGCGCCCACTCTCCAGTGCGCATGAGCAAGCTTGTTGTCATGACAACCAAATTAAACATGACGCTGTACTAAGTAATTACCATTCGCTGAATTGATTTTATTTAAAACAAATTGAAAACCTTTTACAACCTTTGAATCAATACTACACACGATGGATAACGAAAAGGCAGTAGTCCGTCTACCATCCTTGACTGATCGGTAGGTGTTTTGTTAAAACTAAAACCAGAAATTAATCGAAAGTTCTTCTTCGTTCACTCGGTGTTTTTTTAACTTTTCAAATTAAAATGTCTCAATCAATTTGTAAATAAGAATATTTCTTTAAATTGGTAGATGAAAAATATTTAATTCGATTTGCATTAAGCAAAAAAAGAATAAATAATTTTGGAAGAACGTTTACTAACTGGAAAAAAAATAAAAACAACCAAACCTTATTTATTTATTTATTTTGTATTACTTTCGATTATTTTCTGTGAGCAGAATTTGATATTTTGGTTTGGGTACAAAATTCTTAAATGCTTCGACACGACTCCGCCAGAATTTCAGAATAATAAGAAGAAAGACCATCATTTCTGCAAGAGTTTCATCTTCTCCCCGATCCGATCCTTCTTCTTGGAATAATTGCCTTTTCTTTTTTTTTTTTTTTTTTTTTTTTTGGCTTGTTTTTCGCTTATTAAACCAAACTTTTTAATTTCTATATTTGTAATCTCTTTACTTAGAATTGCGACTGTTTATTATTATTATTATACAGCAACAACAATACAACAACCACAACAACAATAATAATAAATACAACAATAATAATAATAATACAACAACAACAATAATAATAATAATACAACAATAATAATATTAATAATACAACAATAACAATAATAATAATAATAATAATACAACATTAACAATAATAATAATACAACTAATAATAATAACAACAAGAACAACAACAATAATAACAACAACAATAATAACAACAACAATAATAATAATAATAATAATAAAATGGTCTGCATGTAAGATATGAGGAAAATTTGTTTGGGGGTGATTGTTTTTTTGTTGTTGTTTTTTTGTATAGTAGCATTATAAAACGAATTTTATGACTAAGTAATACAAAATAATTAATAAAAAGTATAAATATTAAATTAAATATGTCTGTCTTTTACACTTAAGTGTATTTAAAAGAAATCCAGACCGTTTATAAAAAATTCAATATAAGGATTTTATGGGTTTACATTTGTTTGTCTGTAAAAGTTATTCTATTTGTCTCTAAAAGAACCGCCCAAAACAATTTGGTCAGGCCGAACTGTTTCAAAATTCGTATTTTAGATTTGAAAACTATATATACTTTTTGTATTTATGGTCCAATCAAAACAGTGGCTTCCACCCACATAAATTTAAAGATAAGACGAACTTCAGAATATAGAGTATCATTTTTAACCAGTAGGGAATATAATTTTGAACTGGAAGGTACGAAAAGAAGTCATAAGACGAGAAGATATGAAAACTTTGCCTTGATGATAGAAGAATAAGAATTAAAAAGTTTAATACTATTTTTGGCTGTTACAGAAAAAAAGAAGTGAAACCAATGAACAGAACTATTCTGAAGAAGGAAAATTGTTAAAAGTTCCAGTGACATATGTGAATATGCCAAGGCCCCTTCCTGTTTACTTTTGTGTTTTTTTTTTTTTGTTTTCATCTTTCAATTAGGTGTGGTGCTCCTTTTTTTAAAGTATTTTCAATCTTATTTAAACTTCTTGTATTACCATCTCAAGATTTTTTTCCCATTATTTGAAGAATACACTGTAAATCTTTGTAAGAACCTTTATATTATCTATTATCTCCCTTTATTAAAAAGGCATACAAAAGAGAATTTTTCTGCATACCTATTCTCTAAAAATTGTATTTTGTTATATTCTTTTAATTTCTATAATAAATGTTTGTTCTTTTCAAATGCCACTTAGTAGTTTTGAGACTTGCTTATTTTTGTGTGCACCTGTTTTAATATTTCAGATAAGAGTGGAGATGTTCTCTCTTCTTCCACTCTCTCCAGGGAAAAAAATCCTTTTAGCTTTCATCAGAACTTCCTTGATTTTTTTTTATCATTTTAGGAGGACTCAAGATTATAATATAAATAATCTGTCCTTAATGTTATGAATAATCAAGAGTGTTCTCCCCTTGTTTTGTTACTCTCCTCTTTGAGAGAGCTATTTCTGTTTACTGGGACTGTAAAAATTCACTATACACAAACCTTGTATTCTAGGTTGAATAAAGCTTTCTTAAAGCCTACACCTGCATACTTTTGTCATTACACCTAACATCTTAAAAAGAGCTATCTGTACTTTGTTTTTATTTACAAGTACTTACATCATTAATAAGTGATTTTGTCCTTTCTCTCTAATTCCTAATAGTATACACAAATACATGTTTTAGATTTAGAAGGAAAATCAAAGAATACCTTAGCTTTGAATTTTTAGATAAAGTCCAAAGTAAATGTTAAAAATAAAATTGTCACATGCACCAAATATATAAATAATGCAAAATGTGACAACTGCTTACTGGTGTTGCAAAATCTTTCTCTTCCCACCATCCCTGGTACAGCATACAATGTAAGTTCACATTTTATGATGTCTATTGACATACTAAAAGACTGTCCTCAAGGACACATGGCACAGTGGATAAAGACATTGGTTAGATCCAGTGACAGGACCCAAAGAGTGTGAGTTCAATACCCGGTTAAGGCAGTACAGAACTTCCAGAGGAAAATTAACAGGAGATAACTGATAACTGACATCCATTAAACATGGCATGTGGAACTAGAACAGTCTACCCCAGTGAGCGAAATAAAGGGTTAAGTTCAACATTCCAACCACCTGAAGAAGGCCGGAGTGTACAATGGCCGAAACGTTGTAATAAATATGGCAACAAAGATGAGGACAATAGTCCAAATAATGTAAATAGTGTACATAATACCTAATCTCATAAATATAGGCAGATACTAAAAGAATGGTAATGTGTAGGCCCCTACCACTAATTGTGCAAAGTTTAGAAACTCGGTCTGGCACTGTTTCTTTAAGTTGGCAAGAAACTTCTGAAGAAATGTTGAATCATACCTTCTTGATAGCTATCCAAAGCTTACAGATATTTCTAGGTGTGAGATCTTGCATATGAAAAGAGCTCTCCTACACATCACATGAGCATCTGATATATGAACATGGTGGCCACACTGTTCATTAGAAGGCACCCCATAGCAATTATGGGCAACCGATAACAAGGTGTATAATGCTGCTTGAATAACTGATTGTTGTAGGAGTACATGGAGTTTATGAATGGATGCAAAGCAGTAAAATGTAGCAGTCACTTATTAGAGATCTATTTAGGTGAACCAGTGGACTCAACCCATACTACATGAACACAAACTGTACTATTATGGAATCACCACTTACCTGTATAGAGCCTTGTTGAAAATTAGGGTCAAGAACCTCTTGAGGTCTGCACCATATCCAAACACTACCATCAGCTTGAAACAATTGGAATCATGATTCATCGAACTATGCCACATATTGCTAGACTTCTAGGTAAGATGTTGGTTCCAGTTCTATGGTGTTAACAGGGAGGCCCTGTTGGATATTCTGCTCATAGATGTCCATAGATAAATCAATTATCCTTATTTATTAACATGAAGTTTATTAACTATGTATGAAATATTATATTTAAATTTATAAAATCTCTAAAACACTAAGTATGTACCTCCACTGATTTGCTAAAAACATTAGCATACCATGATGAAAAAATGCCCCAAACTTAGTAAAAACAAAGTTTTACTGTCAAAATCTTCATGTTGTTATTAGGAGGAAAGACCAAAGGATTTTTTTGATTTTTAAATTATATATTTTTTTTTATCCTTTTTAAAATGTTCAAAATTTTGGTTAAAAATCTTCTTTTTTTTTTTTTTTTTTTTTTTCAATTAGGGATTTTTTTTTCAATTAGGGATTAGTATAAGAAATTTTAGCATCTTTTTTGCAGCGGTGAAAAACACATTGATTTGGAAATTCTTGCAAAAATCAAAAAAATGTCAGACTTTAATGAAACTTTCAGGACTTTTTCACAAATTATTTTAGAAATTTTTTTTAATAGAAAATCTTGGTAAAAATAATTTTTAAATCAATTTTTTTTTTTGTAAAACAGAAACACCAGTCACTTAAATTCTGCTCTGAATCATAAAATAAAAAATGCAATAAAATTAAAACATTATTTAATTAGAAAAGCTTTTAGTTGCTTTTATGAATAAGATATATTATGGACACTATTGTCTTAAGATGAAAAATTGAATTTTTACAAGAATTGTTTTCATTTTTTAAAAATCTTAATTAGAATAATTTATAAAGTTTTAAATCTTTTAAATTTCTGTATTACTTTGAACCATTAGGTGTTATTGCTATTAAGTAAAAAATCATAAATTGGAAAGCTTAGTACAAATCATTAAGCATCAATATTTTCAAAAAGAATTTTGATTTTTTTTTTTTGTGTGTGTATAAATATGCTGATTTTTGTAGATATGGATGTTCATACACAAGATTATCAGAAAATAGGAGTGATAGTTATAGTAAATTTAAAGCCAAAATATTAAAAATTGAATAAAACTTTATATTACAGAGAGTTTTCCTACATTTTTAAGATTACTGAGTACTTAAAAATTTATATTAAAAAGGCAATCACATTATATTCCTTAAATATTTTTTACAGCTATAACCATTGTAGAAAAACATTAGATAAACTTTTTCTGTCATTCAAGCTGTCAATATGTTAAATACACAGCTATGACCATGTTTAAAAAATGCATTTCTCCGATATTTTAAAGTTAAGTAATATTTGTTTCAAATCAGAACCATAATCAGCTAATATTCCTGAAATAAAGTTTCAGAAAAGTACATCTTATGTTTGGAAGATTTTTTTAATAAGGAGAATTACAGTTGTAATGAAAGATGGTTAAAAATAGTACTAATTGGCTATTTTAGCAAAAAAATAAAAATTCCTTCCAGTCAATTTAAATTAGTTTTAATTTAGTTTTGAAATAAAGCAAAGTATTTTTCTTATTGGAAATATTAAATTTAATCTATTAGTTTGAAATTAAAATTAAAATAAAAGCTTAAAGAAAGATTTTTCATTTTTAAAAATTCATTTTAAACTTTAGGCATCACATT